GGGTCCTGGGATCGAGCCCCGCATCGGGCTCCCTGCTTAGCGGGAAGCCTGCTTCTCCCTCTCCCACTCCCCCTGCTTGTGTTCCCTCTCTCACTGTCTCTCTGTCAAATAAATACATAAAATCTTAAAAAAAAAAAAGAATGTCAACAGATACATAGTTATCCTGGCCTTGCCTTCACTGAAAATGGCTGCTTCAGCTCCAGCTCTTACATCCACATTCCAGAAAGGAAATAGGATTGACAAGGAGAAAGGTCAGTCAGTGCCTGGGGCAAAAAAGCAAAATTTTCCAGAAATCACAAGCAGACTTCCCCACTTCTATCTTATTAGCAAGAACTGTGTCACATAGCCATCTCTAACTTCAAGAAAGCTATTTTTAGCTAGTCATATTGCTGTCCTGAACAAAATCTTGGTTCTGTTAATAAGGGCAAAAGAAACAGTAGATATAGGGCAGCAGTGAGCAGCATGTACCTTTCCATTTCTGCCAGTTTCCATCATTCCTTAGTGGCTAACACTGTGTCAATCTTTTAAAGATCTTCCTGACCCCAGTAATATCTGAATTTATTACTGTTGAAAATTCACAGACAGGAGGTATTTGAAAGTAGTCTTCAGCTTCATGAAGAAGACTACATATTTTTATCCATTTTATCCATTCCCCCAAAATTAAGTATACTCTAGAGGTCATGCTAACCAAACTCTCAGGACACTTACTGATAAACTATGTTGCCAAGTTTTTAGCTTAGCTCTATCCAGCCGAATGAGTAATCATTCAGGTGGGGCTCCTCCAGGTGGGCAAAGCACACAGGCTGGTCAGAAGGTTGCTTAAAGGCTAAAATATGACTCATTGGGGCGCCTGGGTGGCTCAGTCAGTTAGGCATCTGCCTTTGGCTCAGGTCATGATCCCGGGGTCCTGGGATTGAGCCCAGTTTCGTGCTCTCTGCTCAGTGGGGAGCCTGCTTCTCCCTCTCCCCCTTCCCCCCCCCACTCGTGCTCATTCTCTCTCGCTCTCTCTCAAATAAATAAATCATTTTTTTAAAAAATGATTCACTAAACTGGGTTAGGCTGAACTCGCCTTTGTACTCCAGGATGAATTGTGGCTGCACAAGGAAGGGAACAGATCACACTTAATGAGCACTTCCCACACATCGTACCAAGTGTTTTCTACTCTCAGGGTGTTCAGGACTGAATGTTATCACCCTTTTTAAGAGAGGAAACAAGTTCAGAGGGACTGTCACTTGCCCCATGTTGCCCAAATAACAGAGCTGGATTCAATTCGAAGTCGGCCTAACTTCAACCCACAACTCCCAAGGGGTCCTAGCTCTTGAAGTGGAATACAGCGAGTAGCCCTGGCAAAGCCCATGTTCTTCCCACTGCTATGCTGCCTCAACTGTCCGGCAGCTTTTCCAGACATAGGACTGAACTCATTCTTCTTAACATTATTTCTCTGGCCCCACTTCTGAGCTTCACATAGGCGCTGGCTTTCATGAACCCATGATTATTTTGTTGTTGTTGTTTACAGATTTTTTTTTATTTGAGAGAGCGAGAGCACGGGGGGGGGGGGGGGGGGGGCAGGGGGGGAAGTAGACTCCCTGCTGAGCAGGGAGCCGACCCGGGACTCAATCCCAGGACCCTGGGATCATGACCTGAGCCGAAGGCAGTCGCTTAACTGAGCCATCCAGGCGCCCCATGAACCCATGATTATTTAGACCAGTGAGAATACAATTTATTCAGTTAGGGCTTTTTTTTTCCTTTTCAGCTACATTCTTCATGCTAAAGATAATGTGTAGCCTCCAGGGCAACTTGACTGTGTCCAGTTCTCAGTAACACGTCTACAAACCACTCCTGGAGATGACAGTTTTCTGACAGGACTACTTTCAAACCCTTACATTGATTTGTGTCATGACTGTCTTAAAGGATGGCTTTTAGTGGTCTTGTCCCCAGACCTGTCCTGACTGTGGTAAATAATGACCATGTACTTGATGTTTTCAGAACAGAGCATTGGATTTCACCACTTCGTGTTAGGTGCCCATTTAGAGAAAAATTTAGAAATTCATTTTTATGGATTATTTAAAATTCATGTTAATGCTCATTTTAGAACTGGGAATTTCTGTTAATGCCCAACTCCACTAACTGCTCATCGCAGGGATCTATTCCCACTAGACTCTGAACCCTGCCAGCAGGAACCCTTCCTGCGTGTTACCCCTGCATGTCCTATGGGCCTATACAGAGCACAGACTAGCTTCTCGACACATAAACATTCATCAGGTAGATAAATGGGAATCCTCAAGTAATAAAGCAGCAGTTGAAAATTAACAAACATGTCACAGTCTGCATAGCTCTTTTCCATAGAAATATACTTGTGACACCTAATGGGGCTCTTTCTGTACTACCACAAAGGCGTTCTTGTCATGAAAATACCACAGTAATCATTATCTTTTTTTTTTAAGATTTTATTTATTCGACAGAGAGAGCACAAGTAGGCAGAGAGGCAGGCAGAGGGAGAGGGAGAAGCACACTCCCCACTGAGCAGGGAGCCCAACATGGGGCTCGATCCCAGGACCCTGAGATCATGACCCGAGCCGAGGGCAGACGCTTAACCGTCTGAGCCACCCAGGCGGTGTGGTATATTATAATAATATAATATTATTATATTAACTCACAGGTTCTTGGGAATACTTACAAAATAAAATTGTAAAGCACTAAATCTCAAACAATACTTTCTTATACATTTCAAAACTTACAAATAAGAATAGACAGAGAAAAATGGAACTAACTAGGGTCCCACATTATATAGGAAGTTGTGTGAGAAAGGTGGCATTTCAAATCAGGAAAGATGAATGATTCAATATATGATGTTGGAACAATTAATTAACTGTAAAAAAACTACATTCTTGGGGGGCCCGGGTGGCTCAGTCGTTAAGCGTCTGCCTTCGGCTCAGGTCATGATCCCAGGGTCCTGGGATCGAGTCCCACGTTGGGCTCCCTCCTCGGCGGGAAGCCTGCTTCTCCCTCTCCCACTCCCGCTGCTTGTGTTCCTGCTCTCACTATCTCTGTCTCTGTCAAATAAATAAATAAAATCTTAAAAAAAAAAAACTAGATTCTTAACACACCATACAAAAACGTGGATTCAAAATGGAATAAACATTTATATACTTAGTTCATAAAAGTCATAGAAAAATATATGGGAAATATTTTTAATAATGTAAGAAGAGAGGGGGATGGGTTTTACCTACTGCCAGACAGTACACACAGCAGAGAGTAAATATGTTGTGCAAACCCGAAACAGAACTTCTTGCAAATACATTCTCAAAAAAAATACTATCACAATTCATAATCCACACAAAAATATAAATATTCTAACATTTGACAGATATCAAGGTCAAAAAGCATTTTTTAAAAGACTAATAAAGCTGAATATGCAAAAAATACAAAATTTCTACATCACAAAAGACATAGAAAAACAAAAGATAAAAGATTAAAAGTAGGTAAAATGTTGACAAAACAGGACAAAGGGTCACTATTCGTAATGTATTACAATGTATCAATCAAAAAGGAAAGACTACAATAGAAAGGCAAGCAAAGGACATGACTAGACAAGTGAACGTGAAAAATACTCTACTTCAGTCATAATTTTTTAAATGCAATCTTAAATGAGATATTTGCACAAATCAGAATTGACCATTCCTTAGACTGGTGCAGGTGTGGGAAGCCAGCCCCACTCAGGCACTGCTATACATCATCGGACAGCAGCCTGTCCAACATTTAATGTGAGGTTAGCCTGGCATTTCAAGTTGCAGGAAGTGATTCTCCAAAAATACTTGCACAACCGTGTGGGTATTTGTAGCAGCATTATAATATTAATAAGTTCAAAGCTATCTAAATGTCCATGAATAAGGAATGGTTAAATAAATTACAGTCCTTCTATGCAAAGGAATACTTCTATGAAGCCACTGTTCTAAAGAATGAGGTAGATCAACAAAGACTGACATGTCAAGATTCTCCATAATATGTCATTAAGTGACTTATGAAACAGTATACATGGAATGATCTCAATGTTTCTTAAAATGATATAACCTATAAACAAAAATTAGAAGGCTATACATGTGCCTACGATTAGAGAGTGAAAATACGGGGCATTCACATTTTAACCTCAAGTGGTTATTAATTCCCTCTACACTTTATTACATCTAGAATCCAAAAAGATTTCCAAGCCCTTAAAAAATAACAGTCATTTCAGAAATGGCCACTTTTTTTATGAGAGTGTAGGCAGTAGGAGGTGACATCTAATCCAGAACGACTTCGCATAACAACGGGTGTTACTCTTCACTGCATGGGAAGATAAGAACACACACAGCAGCCAGTAAATATATTGAGCAAACCTCCCCAAAAAACTCCCTGAAATAGGTGAAATACATTCTCAAAAATGGATCCTATGACAATTCACAAACCACATGAAAATATAACTATTCAAATATTCCCACAGGCCCTGCCAATGAGATGCATGCATCAGCTCCTCACTGTCTTTACTGGCCACTGAGTAAGATGGAGACCAGTCAGGCCAGCAACCCTTACTAGGTACAAGAAGAGACATGGCTGGTTGACTCAAAAGCTGTGTGGAAATCCATTGGCACTGATGGCCCAGGAGTTATGGCAACTTCTTCATTCACCTCCAAGAAAGCACCAGTCTCTTTGAGAGAAGTAGATTTCTTTTTATGGCAGCCTTCTGCATAATCTGTGTCCTTTTTTCTGTGTTCATTCTTCAATCTCCTCTTGTACATCTTGTATGCTAGGTGTTAAAACATACAAGCATTGAAAAATCACTTTAGCAAAGACTATAATGTAGTACTTTGGAGCTCTGTTTGCTTTGGGTCAGATATGTGTAAACACACAAAAATGAAGGGGAAAAAGAGAGGAAAAGAGATGGAAACTGGGGTTCTGATTCAAAAACGCAACATAAGTAGGGTGCCTGAGTGGCTCAGTTGGTTAAGCGTCTGCCTTGGGCTCAGGTCATGATCCTGGGGGCCTAGGATTCAGTCCCGCATCAGGCTCCCTGCTCAGCGGGGAGCCTACTTCTCCCTCTGCTTCTGCCTCTCCCTTCTGCTCATGCTTGCATGCTCTCTTTCTCTCTCTCTCTCCTCTCTCAAATAAATAAATAAAATCTTAAAAAAAAAAAAGAAGAGGAAGAAGGCAACATAACTAGATACTAAACTTATCTCCTCCCATAGACACACTAAATTCTTCTGGAAAATAAACCCGAAAAACTGTCAGAACAACCTCATCACATCAGACAAAAGGGAAGGAACCCATGTGGAAGTAGGTAGGAAAGACTGAGATAAAATCTCACCATAAGCCCCAGACAAGGCCACCCACAATCAGGAGGGAACTCAAAACATAGAGCTTCTCCCTCAGAAGCAAAGGACTCATACCCCAGATCAGGCACACCAACTTTTAATATAGGCATCTGAGAGACAAGCCTCCAAAACATCTGGCTTTTAAGACCGATGGGTCTGGTACCATGAGAACCACAGGGCTGTGCTGAATGGAGGAACTGCAAACCAACTCACCTGCCCTAGGACTCAGCCCAGGAGCAGCCCTTTGAAAAGTGCCCAGAACTTTATGTAGAAGAGACTCATTTCTTCATTTTACAGCATTAAACTGAGGGGCAGGAAAAGACAGACATCTAGGCCCAGGAAGAGAGTTCCATAATAGGACAAACTCAAAGAGAGCCACGCCAAGACAAATCATAATTAAAATGTCAAAAGTTAAAGACAAGGAGAGAATCATAAAAAGCAGCAAGAGAAAAACAACTTGTTGTATACAAGGGGAAGCCCTAAGGCTATTTGCAGATTTTTCAGCAGAAACTTTGCAGGCCAGAAGGCTTGGCATGATACATTCAAAGTGCTGAAAGGAAAAAACTTCCAACCAGAAACACCCTACTCAGCAAAGTCATCATTCAGAAGTGGAGGTGAAATAAAGAGTTTTCCAGACAAGCAAAAGCTAAAGGAGTTAATCAACACTTACAAGAAATGTTAAAGGGACTTCTTTAAGCTGAAAAGAAAGGGTGCTAACTAGTAATGAGAAAACATATGAAAGTATAAATCTCACTGGTAAAGATAAACATACATAAAAGTAGTGAATTAATCGCTTATAGAGCTAGTATGAAGGCTATGAAGGTTAAAAGACAAAAGTTGAAAAATAATCATAACCACAATAATTAGGTAAGAAATATACAAAATAAAAAGATGTAAAATGTGACCTCAAAAAACATGTGACCTCAAAAACATAAAACATGGAGGGGGATTAAAATGTAGGGCTTTAGAATGTGTTCAAACTTAGGTTGTTATCGACTTAAAATAGATTGTTATAAATATAAATTGTTATATGTAAGCATCATGGTAACCACCAAACAGAAATCTATAGTAGATACACAAAAGAGGAGGAAGGAGTCTAAGCATACCACTAAAGACAGTCATCAAACCACAGAGGAAGAGAACAGAAAAGAAGAAAGGAACTACAAAAGAGCCAGAAAACAATGAATGTCAATGTCAGTAAGTGCATACCTATCAATAATTACTTTAAATGTAAATGGACTAAATTCTCCAAACAAAAGACAGAGAGTAGCTGAATGGATTAAAAAACAAGACCCATTTCTACACTGCCCACAAGAGACTCACTTCAGGTGTAAGGACACAAACAGACTGAAGGGGAAGTGATAGAGATGTTTCATGCAAGTGGAAACCAAAGAAAGCTGGGGTAGCTATACTCATATCAAACAAAATAAATTTTAAAACAAATTGTAGAGAGACAAGGACATTACCTAATGATAAAGGAGTCAATCCAACAAGAGTATATAACATTTATAAATATATATGCACACAACATAGGAACACCTAAATATATAAAGCAAATATTAACAGACCTAAAGGGAGAAATTATCAGCAATACAATAATAATATGGGACTTTGACACCCCATTTACATCAATGGATAGAACATCCAGACAGAAAATCAATAAGGAAACATTGGCCTTGAATGACACATTAGACCACATGGGCTTAACAAATATATACAGAACATTCCATCCTAAAGCAACAGAATACATATTCTTCTCAAGAGCTCATGGAACAGTCTCCAGGATAGATCATATGCTAGGCTACATAACAAGTCTTAACAAATTTGAGAAGATTAAAATCATAGCTAGCCTCTTTTCTGACCACAGTGATATGAAACTAAAAAATCAACTGCAAGAAGAAAACTGGAAAATTCACAAATATGTGCAGACTAAACAATAGGCTACTGAACAACCAATGGGTCAACAAAGAAATCAGAAGTGAAATAAAACACCTGAGACAAACAAAAATACAGCATACCAAAACCAAGCTCATGGAGATAGAGAATAGATAGGTGGTTGCCCGGGGCTGGGGGGTAGGGGTTATCAGTGAAGGGAGTCAAAAGGTACAAACTTCCAGTTATAAAATACATAAGTTATGGAGATGCAATGTACAGCATGGTGACTATAGTTGATAATACTGTATTATATAGTTGAAAGTTGCTAAGAGAGTAAATCTTAAAAGTTCTCATCACAAAGAAAAAAAAAACCTCTACATATGGGGCAGATGTCAACTGGACTTACTGTGGTGATCATTTCATAATATATATAAATACAAATCATTTGTTGTACACCTGAAACTAATATAATGTTGTATGTCAATTATACCTCAATAAAAAAAAGAGGAAACTATGGAGCAAAATAACTCAATGTATCAAAATGGCTATTTCTATCTGGAATGGACCATTTGTGATTGAGGTCACTGACAGCTCACCCATTCATTCATTCAGGCCACTGGTGGCTCATCCACTCAGTCAGTCAGTCAGCCAACAACACCTGTGGAGAGCTTGCTTGCTATGAGTCAGGTGCTCTCCCAAGTGCTGGGAGGTAGCTGGGAACAAGCCAGACATGTTCCTTGCCTCACAATCTCACTAAGGAGAAGAAGTTAAAACTTAAATCTAAGACCAGGGAGTTTTATTCTGCTAAGATTTCTCTTATTTTTTTTTTTAAGATTTCCCTTATTTTGTGGTAAAATTAAACCCCAAGTATTCCTTATGTTGATTGTTATACCAGCAATCAGTATCTAATCAGTTATATCAGTATCATTGAGTATAACTCAGACCCTGTTTCCTGATAACAGTGAAAATTGCAATGGTCCAAGATTAAAATATGTGTGTGTACCTATTGATGTCTTTTTAAAAAAAGATGTATGTATTTACTTGGGGGGGTCTGGGGCAGAGGGAGAGAATCTTCAAGCAGACTCCCCGCTGAGTGCAGAGCCCGACACGGGGCTCCATCTCACTACCCATGAGACCACAACCTGAGCCGAAACCAAGAGTCAGACGCTTAACGCACTGAGCCACCCAGGTGCCCCTACTGATGACTTTTTTAATTTACTTTCTGTGAACCCATCTAGTGACGGACTCTAAAAATGATGTATATTTGGCTGTATGGATTGGTATATATCCCATATATATGATATATATGTATACAAATATGTATTTCAGGACCTGTGTATGTTTCATATTTCATAGTTGTAAAATATTTCACAACCATTCAGCACAATTCTTAGTCACAGAAGCATTGTGAAATAACTTGGCATTTGGAAGACCTCGTGGCTCTTGAGGAAACATAACAAATGTCATTTTGAAGATAAATTATTGCTCATGGAGACTTATCGAGTCCTAGAATCCAAGTTCTAATAGTGCACTGTTTTTTGTGAAGCAATGTTTGTTTATAATTATAAGCCTACTTTCACATATTTTTAATATTTTGCTATGAAAACAAAGGAACTTGTTTGTGCACTTTATTTTCCCCAGAAATGTCAGGCTAACAATATATCACAAGAGTAGCACATGCAGGGGCGCCTGGGTGGCTCAGTCGGTTAAGAGCCTGCCTTCGGCTCAGGTCATGACCCCAGGGTCCTGGAATCGAGCCCCACATCGGGCTCCCTGCTCAGCAGAGAGCCCGCTTCTCCCTTTCCCTCTTCCTGCCGCTCTGCCTACTTGTGCGATCTCTCTGTCAAATAAATAAATTTTTAAAAATCTTAAAAAAAAAAAAAAAAAGAGTAGTGCATGCAGGGTCAGATTGAAAAAGAAGTTAATAAATTGGGTTGACAATTTTCAATCAAATCTGCCCGATGGGGGCTCTCCTTACCTGCAACAATGAGAAATCCGTCCAGCAGCTGGAAGAGTCCATAGGCCAGTGGGAAGCTAAGCATCTGGACCAACTGCTTGGCGGTGAAAGACAGCTGGAGCATGGTGACGCACATCTGAATATTCTGAGCTCCAGTTTCTAAGGAAATTGTCCTGCACCTACCAATGAAAACATTTTTCAAGAGTTACTAGCAATAAGAACCTTCTTAAATTTTTCTCTTCTATATAGCAATAAATGTAAGCTATGAGCTTAGGCCACTAAAAATGTTTACTCATTTAATAATTACTTGCTGAGTATGCCTGCTCTGTAGTGGTCTGCTGAGAAGCACTTCGGAACAGGACCCTAGGAACCCTGCCCTAGGAATCTGGGTAGAAAGACAGGATATACACACAGGAAAGGTCCAGTAACAACACAAGACAAAATATGATCGAGGGTCAGGGAGCTGCTATAGAAATTCAGAAAAGTGGCATAAATGGTTAGAAAAGGCTCACAGAGGCAGAGGCACGTGAAACAGTGATGTTGGGAGGGGCATTTAACGTGGGACAGTGGCTGCAATTAAGGTTCCAGGGACGGGTATGAGCTGTGCCTACCAGGAGGCAGTGCATATGCCGTGAGCCAATCTGCGTGGAGTGAGGGTTGGAGAGGAGAATGAAAAGGTGAATTCGAGATATGAAATACTGTAAACTACACAACACTTGAAGGTAAATATAAAAACCCTAAATGAAAACCAATATCTAAAACCAAATGTCTAAAATTCTTTCGTGAAAGAGTTTAGGAACACAATTTTTCTACTTTCTACTTTTCTGTATTTTACTGGTTTTCTAATTGCAAACAAAAGAGAAAGAGATAAACCTCGCTTGAAAAAGAAAAATCAGGAGGGATTAAAAGGAAGACATAAGCAGGATGTTGGGGGCTGGGTTAAGCAGTCTCATCTGTCACCAGTTTATAAAGGGGGACTTCAGGTTTCTACAGATGGAAAAGAAGAGAGGAAAGAGGTGTTTCAGAATATAAACCAGCATCTCTAGGCAAGCTGGTGTGGAATGTGGAGGTAACAAGGGGAAGTATAATGTGGGAAAGAAAATATTGGTCCAGGGCAAGTTCTGCATCCCTTATTTTATATCTACTTACTCTCTTGCTTGCTATGCTTTCTTTAGCCCACTCTCCTTTCAGACCCCTGTCAATTATTTGAATAAGCCGCAAAGCTGGACCTCACACCTGGACTTATTCACAAGATAAATGCAGTATCTCAATCCTGATCCTTCTCAAGGCATCAGGTATGAAAAAAACAAGATTGTTAACTACATTTTGCCATAGGAATACTTTCTCTCCAGATCCAATTATATTTCAACCACTCAACAGTCTGTTAGTCTGTCCTAATTATTGCCTTTGCAAACAAACCCCGGTTCAAATCCTAACTCTGCTACGTTCCAACTCTATGAACTTGGTCACATTACTTAATGTCTTGAAGGATTTGCTCATCTGTAGAATGAGGGTACAAATAGTAAATACTTCTCAGGCTTGTAGTAAAAAGTAAATGAGATACAATAGGCAGAGCCTTACCCAGTACCTGGGATAATCCTAAATGTTCCCCAAGTAGACTAGAAAGATTTCCTCTACAAAATGAAAATCAAAATGGGGCACCTGGGTGGCTCAGTTGGTTGAGTGACTGCCTTCGGCTCAGGTCATGATCCTGGAGTCCTGGGATCGAGTCCCGCATCGGGCTCCCTGCTCAGCAGGGAGTCTGCTTCTCCCTTTCACCCTACCCCCTCTTGTGTTCTCTCTCTCTCTGTCTCAAATAAATAAAAAAAAATTTTTTTAAATCTTAAAAAAAAATCAAAATGCATACCACTTTCTATTCTCTTTTACTTAAATCTATCTTTTAAGCTTTTTCATTTCCCAAACTCCACCTTTGAAGTTCAACTACCTAGTTCACTTTTCTTCAATTATTTTTTGATTTTAGAAGTGGTGCATACTCATTGAAAAACTCAGGAAATATGCCCCCCCCCAAAAAAATTAAGAAACTAAAATTACTCCTAATCCTACTACTCAAAATTAAACAATATTAGAATATGGTGTATTTCTTCCAGTATTTTTCCATGCATAAAATTCTTTTGCTTCCTTCCACAAAATGGGAATCAAAATGTATCCCTTTTTCTATTCTCTTTTAAATTTATCTTTTAAGTATTTTCCAAAAACATTAAAATTGATGCATCATATTCTATCACATAGACACATTATGAATTAAGTATCTCACTATTGTTAGATATTTAATTGTTTCTATTTTTTATATTTATAAATAACACTGCAATTAACATCCTTGCACATCAATATTCGTGTGCTTATCTGAAAGTCCTAGCTTCAGGACAGATTTCTAGAAGTAAAATCACTGAGTGAACAGCTATAAATATTTATAAGGCTATTGATATGACTAAATTGCCTTCCAGTGAGTTTTTGCCAATTTATGTTCCCTCCAACATTATATGTTAATACTCATCTACAGACATAACAACATGGAGTATTATCATTTTTAATATTTCACACATTTATAAATTATATGCCCCAACTTGTAATGATACTATTTCAGATAAATTCCTATCTTATTTCTCCAGTTTATCCTTTCTCCTCTTGCCCCTTATAATTAGCACTTTTACAGAATTTGGCACAAACTGTGGATAAGTGCTTAATCTCTTGAATTTTGCTCATGCCCTGGAATGATCTCTATATTTAATGAAACCATCTCACCCCTATCTAATTACTAGAATAAGAAGAGAAATGTGTCCAGATTTCAACACATGGTGTTAACACCCCAATCCTAATTTCACAGATTACAACTTCCCATCAATCTGGCCTTTGCTCTCATTTACATAAGAATTACCATGATCTTTTCAACCTCTTTATGATGAGTTGTCCTGTTCCATCCACCTTGTAAGTCAAAACTCTTAATGTCTCCTGACAGAGCCAGGCGGCAAAGCCTGCCAGTGGCCAAGTGTTTATCCTCCTCAAAAAAGTGTAGGGATCATTTAACTGTACCTCTGCCAAGATTGGTGGGTAAGAAGTGCCAGCAGAAAGCCCGTGACATGGCCAATCAAAGGAAAGATGAAACTGATGGTCAGAAGAGTGATGTCTGAATTCCAAGATCCTTTTGCCAACACCACACCAGCAACTGCGACCACCAAAAGGAGGACCCCACCAACAATGGCCCCAATCTAAAGCAAACCAATAAAATAAGTACATGTAAACATCGTGGTCTTTTAGGTCTATTTTGAAAAGTCCGTCACTGCTCTAAGAAGCTGGGAACCTAGATGTTTTGGAACAAAGAGGGGACTTACCACCAAATCCAATCTCATTTTACAGAAAAGAAACTTAAGCTCCAAATTGGTCAACTGACTTCGCTAAGCTGGAAATTGGTGAGGCTCAAGACAAATCTAAGCCTTATTTTATGATCAGTATTGTTTCCCTTGAAGTAGAGGATTTTGCCAGAAGGATTGGGTAGTGGAGTTTTTCATGGATAGGACAAATTAGGAGACAAGTGAAAACTGACAATAAGCCTCCAGTACCCCTACACGCACTTCTTAGATCCTTCGCTGGTAACTTCTTGTCCGAGGTCTGCCCTGCCTGGCCATCTGCCATCTCTTCCTACCACCCCCTCGACTGCCAATGGCTTCTTACTGCCTTGATCCCCTCCCTTCTCTCCTCCAAGTGAAATGTACCCATTCTTTACTAGACAATCTGGGCTGACATTAATGTAACATAAGTACTGACAGATACCTCTTTCCTCTCCCAAATGAATACTGTTCTTCCTTTTGTTGTTCAACAAAAACAAGAAATCAACAACAAAAAAAGAATTTCCAACAGTTTGAGTTTTAGATCAGAGAGAAAGGAAGCCAGACCCAGAATATTTGGAGAAAATTAGGACTTTGACAAGCTCCCATTCATACCATGTAGACAACAAAGTATACACTTAGTATGGCATCAACCGGATTTAAAATGATTCAAGGTGTGGAAGAAGGCGGTCACGGGGGAGCAGAACAAAGCAAAAAACAATCCAATGCACCATAGATGTGCTCCGGGATTATTTTTACTGCTCAACACAAAGACAGACTGGGCCCCTGCTTAATGGGAAGATGTTAGAACACACAAAGAAGTCCTCTGTCAAAATCCCTCTTTGTCTTTCTATCAAAAAAGATTTCAAAGTTTAAAAATACACCAAGAGCAATGTGTTCAGAAGATGTACCAGATCTAAAATTAAAAGAGGACCAAAAATAGAAAATGAAAATATATCAAAACAATGATTAAATTATCCTAGTTTTTTACTAAGGTGCTCCAGAATATTTATGCATATTATTAAATATTTTCTGCCACCCATCCTATGAAACAGACAAAAGAAAGAAAGGGGTTTTAAATCTGCTCCTTACAGATAGTAAAAGTCACCTACAGAAAATTTATCTGATTTCTCCATTGGCACTAAGGGACTAAGAGAGGATCTGGAAACACCAAAATTACTCTAACAAAATCGAGTACTTGATAGTACTTTATCAGAAATAGAGTATTTGAAAAGTAAGAGGTTCCCAAGATCACACTCTGTCCTCTTGCTTTGTAAACAAAATTACAGCGTACCCAGCCGCACTGGAAATTTTCTCTTACCGAAGTAACAGTCACCCACCCAGATGCAATCCAAACGCACAACATTTAAGCCTCCCTCCGGCTCTCTGCCTGCTTGTCAAGCGCGCCTCCCCACTTCACGTCATCGGAGGAATCGTGGGAGTTGCTCCGTCTCGCGCCGAAGCCAGACAGCAGCATCCGTTTGTGCCGCACTGGAGTGGTGGGCGCTGCCGGACGGCAAGAACCAAACCATAAACCCCAAGCTAAAATGAACTGAGATGTATTTGTTGAACCTCCAATTAGCCCCAAACGTTTCTTTCTCTATAAACGTAAAATGGAAGTAAAGCATCGTAAAAATCTTCATAAAGTAGCACGTAACGCAATCTTACATCTTCTGAAATGATACATAATTGGGAAAATGGAAAACACCCTAGGATGTTGACACCTTTGTTGAGAGTGCCTCAACATTTTTTAAAGCTATCCCGATATTTTTAAAAGTCGTTTTTAGATATCTTTAAAAGTTACTTCGGAGATCTTTTTAAGACAAGGACATGTGCTCGTTCCTCCAGCAGACAGAGGACAAGGCCGGGAAGTCAAGAGGCGGTAGGAGGGTCCAGCTGCTTCATCCCACGGCCAGACCCCTCAGCGCAGCCTGCACGCTTTCACGTGGTCAGCAGCCCTTGTTCGTGTCTCCGACAAACTACAGCCTCGGAAGCCTCTCCAGGAATGCTTCTGAAAAACGGCCCTACTTTTTCATGAAGCCACCCCTACTCTTCACCCTGGGGCCCCGCGGCCCGCACACCTGACCAGCGTTCACCTCCAGAGCACCTGTGTGAAGCCCGGCGAATGGCTGCGCTCTGGGTTCTCTGGCCACACACACACCCCTTGGCTTTCCTGTCACTAAAGCAGGAGTCCCACACTCGCCAGTGTGTCCTAAGCCTCAGTGTGTGGGCTGATGGGAGTGACGGAGCATGGCTGACAAGAGCGGAGGAAATATGGAGGTTAGATCCAAAAGTGTAAGACATACAAGGAAAACTGCTGGGGGTGGGGCTGTATCCAACTGGCCCCTCTGTTCCAGTCATTGTCCCCGTCCGTCTTTCCAGTCTCTGCGTCTAAGGATGCCTTAACCACCATCGGGAGCTGCTTACCTTGAGAATGATTTTGGATTGCTTAGGCCACCTGTAATTCACATAGATACCGAAGGCCACCGGGATGGTCAGGCACACAAGGGTGATTCCTGAAGAGAAGAAAAATCCATCAGACAGTATCCCCTCTCACCTGGACTGCCTGATCCTCAACCATTTCTATTTCCATTAGATAAAGGCTTCACTTAAGGCTGCATTTTATTTCTGCATCCACCTCCAAATATAAAGAAAGACAAAAATCTTTAGAAGACGGTCTTTGAAGGGTATACGTTATGACTGAATGCCACTATTCATGTCCCATCATTTCTCTCTCAAAAACCCTCTGACGATGACATGGAATTTTAGAGACAACCAGAAATGTAAAACTTAGAAAACAGGAGGAGTCTTCAAAATTCTTTGGTTGCTGGGGGGGCAGAGCAAGATGGCGGAGGAGTAGGAGACCTGGATTTCGTCTCCTCTCAGGAATTCAGCTGGATAGGGATCAAACCATTCTGAACACCTAC